ACGTGGGGAGGGGCCTGGGAGGTGAGTGCATCAGGGTGTGCATAGGCAGGAATGTGCTGAGCGGGACATGTAACATCGAGGCACTTTATTGAACGTAGGTTGTACCTCGTTACACAGTCAAACAAGACGGGAAGTGACAAAGAAGACAGACCCCAAAGCTAAGATCTGAAGGACAAGTAAACACTAGCCAGCAAGGAGGGAGGGCCGTGTTTCTGGAGGTGAAACCAGCACGTGCAAAGGCCCAGGGGCGGGAGTGCCAGGCGCTGCTTCTCATCTTGGCTCTGGGCTCCCTTGATGATGCCCGTGCCCCGCGCTTCTCTGTGCCTCTGTCCACTCACTGCAGGTTTGCACTGTGGAACAGGTGGGCAGAAACGACTTCAACGGCTCAGCCCTCAGGTCTATGTTTGAATGTCACACCTGTGAGTCGTCAAGGAAGCAGCTGCAGTGAGAGCGGGATGGACAGGGCTTGGAGTTCAACTGGGTTCAGAGCTCAACAGCGCCATGGATAGACCCTTTCACCCCCCACCAAGCCTCAGTTTCCCTATCTGTAAGAAGGGCCTTTGTCACGTGAAGTTTTAGTGAGAGGCAGGGTAAAAGAGATGTTCAACAGATGCCTGCTCTATGGGAATAAGGCCTGAGAGCAAGCCGGCCACCCTGAACTCGTGGCTTCCTCTAGAGTGATCCAGCATGGCCCTGGTCAAGCCTCTGAAACCCTTGGCCTTGACTTCCGGTCACGTGGAGCTCAAACCACCACTTAGGACGGCGCCTGGCACATACTAGAGGTTCGAGGAATGCTGGCTCACGACAGCTAGCACTTACTACGTGCCAGGTACCGCTCTGAGCTTCTCACGCACAGGGCCTGGTTTCATCCTCACAGCCAACGTGACCCCTCCGTCGGTCGTCCAGAGGGGGACTGAGGCACAGAGCAGTTGGGTCACTTGTCCTCAGTCACACAACTCATGGACGGAGCTTGGCTCTGGATCCCCTGCTCATAACCACACCAACATGTGGCCAGATTATACGGCGCTGCCCAACTTGCTTGCCTTCCCGAGACAGGCTCGTGGAAGCCTGGAGAAGGTGCTGGAAGTAACCAGGGCGTCCCCAAGGCTGTTGACCAAGATCAGCACTGTTGGGTAGCCACTGGGACACTGTGGAGCCCTGACGCCAGTGAAACCTACACCCTTTTCCAGGAAGGCCAACCCACCCAGGATAATTGTCGAGCCAGCAGGCACCGTAAGCCACGTGTAAGCCCGGAGGTGCCCAGGAGGGATGAGGCCCAGCAACGTGCCGCTGCCGCTGAGGCGTGGCCGAGCTGCCCTTTTCGCCAGCTTTGGGTTTTTATTTCTTGGCTGTCGCTGTTCTCGTCATTATTGTTTTTGGGGAGGAGAGATGGGACACCTCAAGAATCTGCTGTTTTGTTTGAAGGATTAATTTTCACCTGTAGCATCATGTGGGATTTGCAGCCACGCCCTGTCCTCTGCGCCGTCACGTTTTACGGCTCTCTCTTTCATTTCTCCGTGAAGAAACCTGATGAGAATGTTCTAGAAGCTGCAGCCCGCGGGTGGGGGTGGGGGACACAACAGAGAGAGCCATTTGTTCTCCCTGGCGGCAGGACAGGACGACGCAGATGCCAGAGAGGGCCGCAGGATGCGAGACCTCTGGAGATGCTCCCGTTTTTCCTGTTCTTGATACGTTCATGGGCTTTCCACATTCGCATAAGCAAAAAGATTGAAAACGCTTATGGGAAAACAGCTAATACTTACTGAGTATGAACTGCATGCCGACTTTACGTGTATTCACTCATTTCACCCTCACAACCACCCTGTGAAATTGGATATTTTTATTAGCCTTGTTTCCAGGTCGGGAACTGAAGTACAGAAAAGTCAGTAAGGTAATGACAAATTGCAACGATCGACATTTAAAAAGAGGTCGTCAGTGAAAAGGAATGACTTGCTGATGCCATGACATGGGTGGACCTCAGAACCTTCAAGCTCGGTGAAAGAATCGAGACGCAAGAGAGCATGTACTGTGTGATCCCGGCCATGCGACATGCCCAGAAAAGGCAAACCTCTGGAGACAGAGGCAGATCAGTGGTTGCCTGGGGCGGGGGTTGGAAACAGGGAGGAACAGTAAACGGGCACGAGAGATCTTATTGGCAGAGATGAAATATTCTAAACCTGACTTGTAGTGATAGTTGCGTAACTTGGTAAATTCACTAACAACCATTGAAATGGGCAAACTGTACCCATTTCATCTTACCCACGAAGATCCAGATACACAGCATCTGGCTTTTGCACTTACGAGGCCACAGAACTATTTTCTGGCCGTTTTGTTTGTTCATACCCTGTTTCTACAGCTCAGTTGGAAGTCACTTCAGGTCTGGGTGTGACTTCCTCCATTTCCTTCGGCTCTCCTGGTCTCTGCTCGGCCCTCTGCTCCAGGTCAGGCTTCCCTCCCCAAACCCCCTCCCACGTCTCAGGATGGTCTTGGGGGCTGCCTCTCTTCATTAGCTCCCCCAGAGCTCCTTAAGTTCTTGCTCACAATCGTTTTGCCAACATTCAGGCAAGGTCTGTGCCAGAGCCGCTGCCCAATAAATGATCGTGAACTGTCTGACTCTCTTCTGTGCCCAGGACAGGGCTGGGCACCCTGCGGCCCCAGCCCTTCCCAGGGTTTCCCACCCCAACTCCAAGGCAATTCTGTGAGCTGCAGAGATTCTTCCTAGAAAAGGCTGCCGGGAACCACTCCCCCAGGTGTGGCTTCTTAACTCGCGCTGTCCTGCAGGCTCCTTGAGCATCTGCTGAAGCCTGAGGACCCCTTCTCAGAATAATTTTTAAAAACTGCATTCAGATGACAACAAAAACAGTTTTTACTAAAATAGTTATCAAAGTATTTTAAAACTTTTGATGTAGTTACATATGCTTCTTTAATACATTATATAAGATTGAGTGGTGAGCCTGATATGATCTTAATTTCAGAATTGTGGCAGCTTAAGCAATATTTTGAGATATCTGTAGTAACTGAAGTATGATATGAAAATAGCTGTGATTTCTATTAGTGGCAAAACCACAAGGACTTTGCCTGCATTCGTGATCGAAGGAAATACTAAGAAATTGGTGAAAATGAAGATACAACTTTTGTCCATCCCAATGTCGTGGACCCCTCAGAATTCCATCCTCAGCCCCCTTGGGGGTGTCCATGAACTCCTGCTTTAAGACAAAAGGGTTTTGATTCTTTCGTTTAGATAAACAAGAAGATCACAAGACTTGAGAGAACAAAGAGTGACGAAAGAGCTGGGACCACGAGGGTTGGGATAAACAGAGAAAGGTGTCAGGACGCCAGTTTCATGCTGGGTGTTGCAAAGGTGAGCCTATTTTGGAAGGAAGAAAGGAGCTGGGGGTGAAGGAAGGAAACGTGGAGGGTTTGCCCTTGTGACTGCATCAAAAACAGCAGACTAACACTACAGCCTTGACCTCACCCTAGAGCAAGCCCATGTCACCTTTGTGTCCCTTTTGTTGCTGAGAAGACAAAGCCATTGTCCCTGTAAAACAGGGTACCTGCCCTCAAGCTTATACTCAATGAGACAAAACAAATACAAACATTAATAACAAGACAAATATTAAATTGCAATTCAGAAAATGTGTCCAGAAGAATCTGGACAATGCCACATATCTGGCTAAGTGCACGCAGTGCAACCCACAGGCATTCCAAGGTGGGGGGCACCTCCCCTCCTGAGGTTTGTGGTGAGGATCAAAAGTGGGAATGGACAAGAGGCTGGTAGAATCGGAAGGACAGTTAGAGCATTTGCTTTGGGACTGCTTGCTGCTCCTCTGGTCTCAGTGGCCTCTGTAAAATAGGGATAATAACTAAGTATGGCACCTGACATATACTAAGTACTCAATAATGGGAGCTATTATTACCACTTAAAAAATGATAGATGTTTGCAAATTGATTCTAGCTACACCAGATTGGAGAATTTGGTGTTTAGGGTGGTAGGTCTGAAAAACAGATTTGAATGAATGAAAGAAAGAATGAATGAATGCATCATCGGATTGGCTCTGCCCTCCAGACCGGTTCCTTCCAGATATTGCCCCTTAAGCGGCTCAATGAAGCGGACCGCAGCTCTGGGGTCAGTTACATATCAGCGTGTGAGTGAGCGATGGTGGGGAAATGGTAATTCCGGGCGGGGGAGCAACAGCAGCTCAGACTGAGCAGGCGGGTGTCATATTCCTGGATGGTCTTCACTCATTCTCCCTTCCCCCCGCCTTCCGGAATCGGCGTGGGGCCTCCATGGGCTGCGGGGACTAGAGGGCTCTGCAATGCCTAGGCTGATCTTGGGGACACGTGGTCGAGAAGCCTGCCTGAGTCTGCCGCGTGGGGAACGTGCAGGCGGAGGAGCGGCCTTATCCTGGGAAGGTCGATCTAGGCCGCCCAGGCTAAAGTGGGGGTGGGGTAAGGATGCACCTTCAGATGCTGCGGTCCCCTAGCCCTTCCAGACAGAGGTCTCCAGCACCCCGTGGGAATTTGAGGCCTGGAGAATTGGGGTGAGAGAGAAGTGGAACAGAGAACGTGGCAGAGGACGTGGAGAAGAGGGCTACCTAAAGGGGGAAACGAGCGCTGCCGAGGCTGCCGGTCCCTTTAAGAAGCCGGGCAGGCTCTGCGGTGGCTCCAGCTAACCGCGTGTCTGGTGCAGCTCTGCAGTCCGCGTCCCCGGCAAAGAATCGGAGCCACGCGGGGCGGCCGGAGCAGAGCAGGGGAGGGGTGGTACGGTGGGACCTGGGCGGAGCCAGAGCTTCAAGCAGCGGGTCATTGGAGCAGAGAACGCGGCGAAGTCCGGGAGTGGGCAGCGTGGTCAGACGCCGAACGTCTCGCGGGCGGGGCCCCGGGGAGGGGGGGGGATCCGGGAGGGCCGCAGGAGGTGCTGTGGGCGGGGCTATTTTGGGGGCGTGGCCTGCTTCTGCAGTGGGCGGGGCCCGCCGCAGAGGGGCAGTGCCAGCCAAGAGTCCTCTGCGCGCTGCTGCCGCGGCGCTTCACATCGTCTCTGACAGCCTCGGCGCCGGTAATCGCGACCCTCACTACCTCGAGCAGCCACCGCGGCCTCCATCGCAGCCTGAATCCGGTTCCTTGCCTCCGCGCCCACATCCGGGGGCAGTCCGGCTCGCAGTCCCTGCGGAGGCCGCATCTGGTACGCATCTGGAACCGCCCGGCCGGCCGCGCTGGAGCCCGCGCCCAACCTGGCCCGGCCGCGCCGGGAGCCCTGCCCGGAGCTGGAGCCTCCCCTGGAACCGCGGGCCCGGGGCCCTGAGCTGCGCAGCCGGCGCATGGTGAACTCGTTGCTGTTCGGAGAGATGGCTTTGGCCTTTGGCTGTCCGCCGGGCGGCGGCGGCGGCGGCGGTGGCGGCGGCGGGGGCTGCCCCGGCGGTGGCGGCGGCGGCGGCGGCGGGGCCGGGCCAGGGCCATCGCCGGTGACGGCGGCACTGCGGGACGACCTGGGCTCCAACATCCATCTCTTGAAGGGGCTCAATGTGCGCTTCCGCTGTTTCCTGGCTAAGGTGCACGAGCTGGAGCGGCGCAACCGGCTGCTAGAGAAGCAGCTGGAGCAGCAGCAGAGCGAGCGCGAGCGTCGGCTGCGCTACAGGACATTCACCCGTGAGCAGGCCGTGCAGACCGGGCCGGATCTGCTACGGCCACCAGCGCCCGGCAGCGGGCATGGCATCGGCAGCGGCGCGGCGGCCGGCACCAATGCCAATGCCGTGGCCCTGGGCGGCCTGCCCCCGGGCGGCGGCTCTCACCCGCAGCTCTACGGCCGCCTGCCTGGGACCATCTGGAGCTACACGCAGGTGCGGCGCACGGGCGGCGGCGGCGTGGAGACCGTGCAGGGCCCCGGCGTGTCGTGGGTGCATCCCGACGGCGTGGGCGTGCAGATCGATACCATCACGCCCGAGATCCGCGCGCTCTACAACGTGCTGGCCAAGGTGAAGCGCGAGCGCGACGAGTACAAGCGGAGGTGAGTGCGGCGCCCCCTCTCCCCGCGCGCGCGGCCGCGGAATGTGTGTGTTCGGGGTCGGGGGGGCAGGTGGCAGCCAGCTGGTCCTAGCAGGTGGGCTGGAAACTGTTTGCAGAGTACCCTGCCTTCGCTCGGAAAACTCAGTTATCTAGTTCTGAGAATGGGGGCGGGTGCTGACGACGGCAGGGGACACAGCCAACCCGTCGTTGGTCCAGACACGTCCGTTGTTTTGTAGGTGACAAAATAGCTATCGATGTTTTAAGTAATCTTATTTAATTACCATGGCAACTCAGAGCGTAGGGCATTCTTATCACCATTTTGTAGATGAGGGAACTAAGGCACCCGAGATGCAAGTGACTTGCCTAAGGTGTGTTGGCTAATAAATAGTGAAGCCGGGATTTGAACTAGTGATTTTACATACCTCCCGGGTAGTCTGTCTCCTAGCCCAGGTACTTTTTCAAGGATGTAGAGGTGAGCTCCCTTCTCTCCATGGGTGAAAAGAAAAACACTCCAAAGTAAACCGCTGACCTTTTGTTCCTTGAATTAAATGAGATTATGTGTTTGAGGCTGGATGGATCTCTTCCTGCTCCCTGGGGCTAGGGTCTGCCTTCTTGCTCCATCTCTGTACGGTCCAGCGGGCTGGGCTGGATAACCAGCCCTACCTCAGATTGGTCACAAGCTTTTAAAAATCCCTCCCTTCACTCCTCTTCCCCCCACCCGCATTGTCATGGTTTATTGGGCCCCCACAAACTCAGCCCCCAAAAGGCCCGCAGGAGGAGGTAACCTTGGACTGGAAGACTGGACATTGAATGGACCCGGACCACCATCTCTGAGCAGAGTTCGGGGCAGACTACCTACAGGAGTGCCAGTACGTTACCGCCCAGCCCAGGTTACCCAGGCGGGAAACTAGCATCGTTTCCCGCCTACAGCCTGGCTGGTGGTACTGTCTGCTCCACTTTCCCATACGAGGAGAGGGGTCTGTCCGTAGCATCTCAGGCCTGGGTGGGCGTGGGCCCTCTTCTGTCCCAGCATGGGCCACTCTGCATGGGGAACCTTGGCTCCGAACCCCTGGTTCTGGAGGATGTGCTGAGAAGGATGTTTCCTTCCACTCCTTGGGTCCTGGTGCTCTCGGCAGTGCAGAGGTCTGCCAGGGGAGCTGGGCATGGGTCTCCCTCCTCTTCCTCTACTGGGCAGGACTCGAATCAAATGGCAGCTCCGTCACCAGCCAGTGAGATTGTTGGACCCCTTGGAAGCCCGTTTGCTCACCAGAGAAATGGAACAGTGATCCTCACTCCCAGTCGCATGAGGGGAGAGTAGGATGGTGATGCTTTTGGGAAGGTACAAAATAATCAAGTTGATGTCGTTCAAGACGGTAGTCTCTTTGTCAAGCTGGCAGGACACAGAGACCTGGAGTTCCAGGGCTGTCTCGTGCAGGGCCTGGCTTTCTGGGGGTAGGTCTTACACCCCGCTGTACACTAGCTCCTCTTCTGGGCTGGTTGTCTCTGCTGAGAGCTTGAGAATGGCCTGGTGCCTGGCCATGGGGAGGCCACCTCTCCGCTCGCGGTGGACAGCTTCGCTGGGTGGGTGGGGTAGGGAAACAGGTACTTGCTCTGGATGGTGAAACTCGTGGGAGGGACGGGCCCGTCTGTCTGCCACTGCCGATTGTGTGGCCGTGCCCCAGGTGTGTGCTGTGTTTGTTTTATTGTGTGTGTGCTCTCGGACCTGGCTACGAAGGAGATGGAAAAACCGTGCCCAGTCTGTCTTGAAGGAAGGTAGGCTGGTGTTGAGCAATGCTTTGTTTAAATTGCACCCAGGGTGTGGGGGGTGATGTCAGCCTCTGGCGCTGGCCCGGAATGAGATGGGTGCTACCGGGACAGGTGGAGTGCGCTGTCTCTCTTCCCGCCCTCTGGGAGGTGTGTGCGCCTTCTCTTCCTTTTTGGTGAACTGAGGAGGCACATCTTTTCTGAAGTTGGTTCAGAGCTCAAGTTCGATTTTTCCAAAGCAAGTATACTTGGACCCTTACGTGGGCCCCAGTTTCCCTGTCTGTGAAGGGAGAGGTGGGTGGTGTATCGCCTCCAAGTTCCAGGCTGCCTCAGAGATGCCTTAGGGATTCCTTGCCTATTAAATAAAAATGAATATTTAAAAACACATTGAAATGTTAATACGGTCATAAAAATGTGCTCATTCACTTTTAAGTTCTGCACGTTAACCCGTCAAGGTCCCTTCCATGCTAACTTGTTAGTAATCGGACGCAAGCGAAAGTCCTCCTTCTGTTTGTCTGAAGCGTGTTTTGAGATTACAAAGCAAACTGCTAGAAACTATTCCCATTCGCGGCTCTTCGTCTGTGTGAGTCAGGATATTCCTGATGCTCTGCAGCCAAAACTGGAGATAAAATTAAATGGAATGTGGCACTGTCACCCATGATGCCAATTCTAAATATTCGCGGATCAGAATAGCCTCTTCAGCCTCAGTGATTGAATTCAGAATCGCTGTTATGTATTCGAACCAATATAAATGCACACAAGTATCACTGGTTTTACGTGTTTCTATATTTAGGTTTCTCATAAGAATTTCCTTTTGTGAGCAGGGTGGGCATATGATCAACTTTTTAAAAAGTTTAAAAACCACTGGACTAGATGATCTTCCCAGCCTTAACAATAACTAAATCTGAGTTTGAGCTCCCGGCCCAATTCTGACTTCCTGTCCGTAAGAGCAGTCGCAGCCTGAGGCCTGAGACCACGGCATCTGCCCTGGCCTCCAAAGGCCTCGGGTTCTTCCAGGATGTCCAACATGGGGCCCCAAGCAGGGAGTCAAGACAGAGCCTGTGCCAGGAAAGAAAAGGCTCCAGGATTACCCCTGGTCCACCCGGGGGAGGGAGCCCACAGCTCGGAGACCCCACTCGCTTTCCCAAAGGGCAGCCTGGGATGTGTGGCTCAGTGCTCTCCAGTTTGGAGACCTTTCTGCTTCCGCCTCCATGACACCTGTGGCCATACCCACGAGCCAACGCCTGTGTTACTTCTTATGTGAGATACGTTTAACAGCTTTATTTAAAATGCTCCCACTGTAAACATTCAATGACTTTTAGTGACTCCACAGAGTTGTGCCACCATCCCCACCATGCAGTTTCAGGACGACTTGTGTCTCCCCCCAAAGATCCCTCGTGCCCACGTGCAGTTGATCCTCATCCCGCCCCAGCCCGGGCAACTGCTGATCTGCTTTCTGTTTCTCTAGAGTTGCCTTTTCTGGACATTTCATGTGAATGGCATCATGCATTAGGTGGTCTTTTGCGTCTGGTTTCTTCCACTTACGTATTGTTTTTGAGGTTCGTCCATGTTGTATCATGTATCAGTAGTATTTCCTTTGTGTTGCTGAATAATAGTCCACTGTGCGAATACACTGCCTTGGTTTACCCATTCACCTGTGTGACCAATAAAGTGTAAATTTAAAAAGTCACCTGCTTACCACCTCCCATCATCTCCTGTGCCATTGGCAATGGCACAGGAATTTCAGTTGGTGGAAACACCAGCCTCCCCGGCCCCGGCCCTGCTCACCAGCATTGCTCTGACTTTGCCTTGGTCGGATAAGCTCTGAGCTCTGTACTGGGAGGAAAATGTGGTTGCCGAAACTGTAACACCGGCCAGGTTGTCAAGCACTGATTTGGAAACCAAAACAAACATTTCTGCTCTGTCACCACCCAGCGCCACCAAAATATCCTGTTCTGAGTTTGCAAGCTGGGGGCTTTTCCTGGGAGATTCCGGCTGAATCTCTCTGAACTTGCAACAAGTGGAGAGTTCTCTGAACTGGCATCCAAGAGACCCAGATGCCAGGTCTGCCTCTGCCACTAGCCTCTGTGTGACCTCAGACCAGTTGCTTTTCTCTCCGAGCCTTAGGCCTTCCACCTTTGGGGTGGGGTGGGGGGTAGGGGGGTTCATTTAGTGTAAAGTGGTCCCTCCCAGCTCACTTTACACTTTGGTTCTGTGACTTGAGGGGTTTGGGGTAGGGCTGCTCTGTCTGCCCCCCTGGGATGAGAGGCTGGGCCTCCTCCTCCCCTGACCCGTGTCCTTTGTGGTTTGGTATCATGTGGCTCTGTCCCCTCCCCCTGCAGGTTTCCAAGTGTCTGCGCCCCTGACTGAAGTTGGCGTGAAGGGCTTAGTTTGTTTTTCCCTGGTACCTGTGGTGATTGGAAATTTATATCAGTGACCAGGAAGGACCATGGTCGTTTCGTCTGGGGGTTTTCAACCAGGCCCTTTGGAACCCTGGGGTCCAGAGAGGGTGCCTTGGGGTTGGTCATTCTGGGGACACGGGGAGGCCGAGCATCTGGGATCCAGTCTGTGTCAGCCACAGAAGTTCCATTTCCATAACTCTCAGGTTACCATTCTGAGCAAGATTCAGTTGTCAGTTGGAAAACAGGGTTCTGCAGTTAAGGGCGGGGAAAGTAAAAGAAATCACAGATTCAGCTGAGATGGGGAAACTGAGGCCCGGAGGGGACTGACCGGCAAAGCCGAGTGGGCGGACCTCCTGTGTGCCGCTGGGAGCTGGCTGCCATCCGCCTGAGTCGGGGCTTGGATGGGTCTTCACCACCTTTTTGTGTGTCTGCCTTGAAGCATTTTTTGAAAAGCCACTTTCAGGAGTGGAAGGGACTTTTGTCCCAGCTCTTTCTGATAGTGAACCGGCTGGGGCTGGGCTGCTGGCCTGAAAGGACGGCTCCAAAAAGAGCTGGGGGGCGAGCCGGCTGGAGTGTGCCCTGCCTTCCCTTCTTGCCCTGGACGACCCTTGAGCGGGTGGGTGGTGGCCCCTGGCCGCCCCAAAGCCGGAGCACTGCCCCCGAAAGCCGGCCGGGGGCTTTGTTGGCTGTTGTTTCCGTGGATGCTAGGGTCCCTCCTGAAGCTGTCACCGATAGGGGTGCTTTTGTCTCTCTGACACCCTGAGTGACCCTGGGCAATCGCTTGGCCTCTCTGAGCTGTCTGGTTCTCTGCTTTTTGTGAAAGAGGGAGAAAAAT